GAAGTAAACAAATAAACCTCTCAAAGGTAGGTGTTTACAAGAATTAAGCTCACAAGAACAAATATTTACAAGAGAACAGAAAAATAAGATTGAAAAACTCTTCTCTTGTGTTTGATTGCTTGGATAGTTGTTCTCTTATGTTCTTCAAGTGTCTTGAACATGTATTTATAAGTTAGAATGAGTTTGAAGTCGTATATAGCTGTTGGGGATGTTTTGGAGCCGTTGGGGATTCATTTTCTACAAAATAAAACTTCCTAGAACAAGGTGTATCGGTACACTTTTAAGGTGTATCGATACCCCTTCATAAAATTCAAATTTTATAACCGTTGGGCTGAAATTACTGTAGCAGTGTATCGGTACACTGTAGAGGTATCGATACACATTTTACATTCGATGTTTTTAGCATCGGTACTGTTCATTACTGTTCACACAGTATCGATACTATTGATACAGTACCGGTACTATACATACAGTACAATACTATTCATAAAACATTTTTGTGCTCAATTCCAAATTAAATGGACTTTGAATTTTTTTTGTAAACTTCGAATAAATTCAATTCAAGTTCAAAAACATTTTGCCATAAATTGTTATATTAAAACATAGTTCAACACATATTATTATATGGACTTTATTATTTTTAGTTTATTTTAGACATAGATTATAACTGAAAATAATAGTGGGAATACCTTTATTGTATACAATCGGTAAATAAAATGTATCATAACAATCATCTTATGATTGTTTTTTGGGCATACTCTAATAAGAGGAACACTTCACATTAGTAGAGTGCTCCTACAACAATAATTATCAATTAAGCATTCAGATAGCTCCATATGAAGCCTTGCATGGCTGTAGGTGTAAGACTCCTTTGTGTTAGATAGAGCTCAGTGAGGGTAAGCTAATAGGTCCCGATTTAATTAGAGAGATCGAAGAGAAGGTTCGATTGATTCAGGGTCGATTGTGAGAGGCCCCCAATAAACAAATGACATATACAAACTTGAAGTGCAAGGTTATTGAATTTGTAGTGGAGGACAAAGTTTTCTTGAAAGTGTCACTATGGAAGAAGGTACTCAGGATTGTTCACAATGAGAAGTTGACCCCACGTTTTATTAGACCTTATGACGTACTCGACCTACAGCTTACTGGTTAGCTTTACCGCTAGAGTTAGAACACATTCACAATATCTTTCAAGTGTCCATGCTTAGAAGGTACTGTTTAGACCATTCACATATCCTGTCCTTATAACAGATCAAGGTGAGCCAAGACATGAACTATGAAGAAGAACTGATTAAAATCTTGGTGAGGAATGTTAAGGAACTGATGAACAAAAGGATCCTCCTGGTGAAGGTCTTGTGGAGGAACTATGGTGCCGAAGAGACAACATGGAAACCGAGGAAGACATGCATCTTTAGTACCCTCACCTATTATATTTAGGTAAATTTCAAGGATGAAATTTCTTCTTAGGAGATGAGAGTTGTAACGCACCAAATCTTGAGTTAATAGTTTTGGGCCAACCCGAGAGGGTTTTGGATAACCCATTAGCCTTGTAGGAAAGCTTGACGTAAGTTTGAGTTTGGTTGGGCCTAGATTGAGCCCAATTGATATTAAAAGAGTATTTTTGAGTTGAGACTAAAGTTTGAGGGATCAAGGGAATAATTATACCATTTATGAATTCAAAGGTTGAATTTTATTAATAGAGGGTGATGTCAACAACATATGCTAAGGAGAAAAAGAGTGAGTGCTTTATATATCTTTTTCCTCACTATTGTTTTCTTTCCCATTTAAACTCTCCCTAGTTTTTCTAGTATTTAGAGGAAAAGAGCTAACTTTAGTGCCTTATAAGTCTTATTCAAAACTCTAAAGCTAAAAATCATAATCTTCTCCACTAAAGCTTCAAATCAAGCCTTCTTTCTCCTTATTTTTTCATAAAAACCATAGGAGGAAAGGTTTTAGTGGGGGTTTAAAAACCCATGTTGTTCTAAAACATTTTTTGGGGATTTAATCCTTAGGAAACCCTTTAAACATTTTTATAAGATCTTAATCAAGTTGGTAACTAATATGTTTAATCCTTGTCTAGTGAGAGAAATTGGAGAAAGCTCCAAAAGCAAAGGGAAATAGAAGCTATCACTTATTTCAGCAACTTAGTAATCAAGGTAACACATTTCTAACTCATCTCTAACACATGTAGATCACTAGATGTGTTTGGTTGGTTTGCATGAGTTTATGAAGCATATAAGTGCATCCATGGTATATTTCAGTTTATGGTGTTATTCTACATGAAAATTGGCCTATAATGACACCTCTTAACATGCATAAGACTTAAATAATAGTTTATGGCCTTAGTAGGGATTTTAGGAAAAGTTGGGCATCATTTTCGCGCTCAAAAAAGAGTATTTATGAGTTTGGGTATCGATATTGGATGAACAATACCAATATTGTTCTTCAGATAGCCTAAAATAAGGGGCCGATGGTATTAATACCTATTCATCGAGTATCGATATTGTTCTTCAGGTTTTGATACCCAACAGTAGGGTATCGATACCATTTTTGGATTTCAAATTCTAGTAGCTTGTTTTGGTATTAGTACTCATGGGGGTATCGATACCATTCAAAGAAGGGGTATTGATATCCTAAGTAAGGGTATTGATACTGAGTTTAATTTCCCAAACATCAAACCTGATTTTTGTATCAATACTCGTGATGATATCAATACCCTAGTAAAAAAGTATAGATACTCCAAATAAGGGTATCAATATTGTCAAGCTTTCTCAAATTCTAGTAGCCAGTTTTGGTATATGTACTAAGGGTGAGTACTGATACTCAATGACCAATATCGATACTAAAAGGCTTAATATCGGTAATATCATCTTAAATTGGGTAAGAAACCCAATTTGACCAAGGGTTTTTGGAATGGGTCTAATAGTGTTAGAACTTCACTAAATAAAACTACAAGTGAGAATAGTTAATTATTGCAGCCACAATTAGAAATGATATGAATTAAGATGAAACAAAACTAGTCATTGTGTGATACTCAGGAAACAGTCACAACACCTAGGTTACTCTAGTAGTATGACAATCGTCTTCCATATTTAGAATATCCAGATATATCTCAGCTAGTTCCAAGGCACTTCAATTGCTAGTTGGGCACATATACCCCAAGACTCTAAGGAGTGTGTTGGTCGGTTGTAGGTTTCCGATGCAGTTCTGGATCTCACCTATTATAGGTAGGCTAGAGGGGTGTGCGTCCCAAGATGCAGAACCCTTCGACCACACCATAATGTGTACCTCAACTTTGTATATTAGTGTTCTTGTATGTTCATACCTCTTCCTACTAGCATGCTTATGTAGTAAATACATGTAGTATAATATAGTTATTAGTGTGGCACTGAGCTTGTGAGCTCAGCATTCAGAATGTTATTCCGTGCAAAGATTCTTAGAAGATTTCTCGAGGAGTTTATCGCCAATCAGCGTTCCAGATTTACTGAGGCATCACAGTACATCTTGAGTCTTGTAGAGGGAATGTATTATTCATATACTCCTTTTGTACTATGTCGCAACTCAACTTTAGAAACATTGGATATGTATTAATTGGAGATGTATTTTGGGAGCTCCTAACTTTTGCAACTTAACTATTTTAGGGTTTTATTTATAATTTTCATGAATAATATTTCTAAATGAATGATTTATGGTTATTTGAAAGAAAATTTTTGGGTTAGCCACTTCGGTGGTCCCGTGTAAGACTATAGTCTGTTAATCTTTATGTAAGATCGAATTAAGGTGTTACACATTATCCTTAATCTAGAAATGTCAAATCTAAAATTTCACCCTCATCGACCACACTATAAACCTAAGCCAGAAATCAAACTCTTCAAACTCTCGTAATTTCCAACCCATAAACACCCATTGAACTTAAGCCATCAAAAAACCTCCCCAAACAATTTCACAAGAGCAAGGGCAAGCAACGTTAAGGGGTTTTGGGTTCAACATGTGGAAGCACTGAAAAAATGAGGTAAGTGTGTTATTTGATGTGATGGCTACAGTCGAAGACTGACAATAGAGAGATCATAACCAATGAGCTAGGGAGAGATTACAGTGTAGAAGACAACGACTACCATCCAATAATATGACAATTTTGTTAAGTCTTTTAGCTGTATTAGGGCTTAACAAGGGAAGAAGAAGTGATTGGGGCTGAGATCGTTGAGGTGGGGTGGGGTCATCAATGAACTATCATTTGACAGTGGTAGGGTGAGGCTGTTGAGGATGAGAGGGTGAATGTTGTAATTTGAGGTTTAATGTTTGGATCTAAATTTGAAGGGTATAATTTAGTATTTTTAAAATTTAATCTTTGTTATAATTGGTATTAAAATACAAATAAAATATGCCACATCATATGAAAATTATAATAAAATAATTTGTATCATCGTAGAGTGACTAAAACAAGGACAATTCAAAGTTGAGTGATTAAATTAATTTTTTTTAAACTTTAGTGACCAAAATAGGAGTGAAAAGATAGTTGAGTGATAAATGATGTATTTTACCCTAATGTTAATTTGATTTAACTAATTAAAAAAATGAATATCGATAATTAAATTAAAAAATAATATTAAATTATCTTATTTATTTATTAAATATTTTAATTATAATAAATGAAATAAACATGTCACATTACTTAAAATTATATCATAATTTAAATTGATATTACATTTTTTAATTAAATTGACATTATAATATTAACAATATTTTTTTTGAACTCTACAAAATTGGCCCTTTTCAAAGGTTTTTTAACATTAGAAAAGTACCTACTGCAGTATTAAAGGGACCTATGCAGCAATTTCACCGCAAATGGAAGAATAAATCAGCCGACGCTTATCGATCAACAGCTTTAAAGGGGTGGAGTTAGCGTACTCCATCCCGCACCGACTCAAATCCCAAACCGCTTGAACACGTAAACGGGCGGGCTTAAGAAAAAGAAAACGGCTTATTTTATTTAAAGACCGACATAAAATAATACTTTAGATTCTTCTTTCTTACACTTTACTTCTGTCATGCTTTTGATTCTCTCTGGAAACAAACACATCTTATCATTCTCCATTATTTTCCAGATCCAGATTGCAACACCAACGATTGTAAAAGATGGAGTCATCGTCGACGAGTCAACCTGAGTTTGACTACTTGTTTAAGTTGTTACTGATAGGGGATTCGGGTGTGGGGAAGAGTACTCTGCTCTTGAGCTTCACTTCCGATAACTTTGAGGAACTCAATCCCACCATTGGTGACCTTTTTTCCTCTACTTAATTTGTTTTATTAATATTGAAGAATGTCTGATTATGATTTTGGTTTTTTTTTTACTCTCTAGGTGTGGATTTTAAGGTGAAGCACGTTACTGTTGGAGAGAAAAAGCTGAAGCTTGCCATTTGGGACACTGGTAAAACGTTTTTTGATCCTCTTTTTTTTTCATGTCCCATTGTTTATTAGCAGTAGGAAGGAGGTAGAATTTTATTTTTGAAGTTATATTAGAGATTCAGAGGAGTGAAATTAGATTATCAATGGAAAATACATTTGAAATTTCGAGGGTGCGACCGCACCCAACACCCCTCGGGCCCATCCCTGATTAGTAGTGTAGTGGATATTCTTCTTTGATGATTAAGATAGAAGGTATATTAGATATTGGGGGAAATTTTAATGGTTATTGCTTTTATTTTGAGTTCTTAGAGCACAATTGAATGCATTATGTATTTGATCATGATTTTTGTAGAGATTTATATGTATGTATTTGTGGTTTTGACTTGGTAGTTGGTACTAAAATTTAATCTGAAAGAGACGATTGTCTAGGTGTAAGTTCCCAACCGGTTTCCGTTATCCGTATTGACTGTAAATTTAATTGTGAATTATGTGGGAGGAGTTTTTGTTCTCCTTTCATATCTTCTATTGTAGAATTTGATATTTTTAAACATTTTGTTTATCTTGTGTAAAATGAGTTGACGATTTGAATAAACTAAATTGTTTTATAATTATTCATATCTCTGCTTTATGCAGCTGGACAAGAAAGATTTAGAACACTAACTAGTTCATACTACAGAGGAGCTCAAGGGATAATCATGGGTATGGACTTCATTCGTTTCTTGTTTGCGGCTACATTTGTTTGTCAATTGTTATGATTTGTATCCGTGTTGTTAGAAAACAGTAAACATATCAATCCATGAGATCTTGTGATAATAATGATTCACATCATCCATGAAGTTTCTTTTCCTTACGTCATTGCTTACATTAGGTATTCCCTTCAAATAAGACAGGGACTCCTTGTTCGTGCGCATTTAAATACACGGCTGGCTTATTTATAAACTGTATTATGTTTGTACTGTTACAGTGTATGATGTGACACGTAGAGACACATTTACGAATCTATCTGACATATGGGCTAAAGAAATCGATCTGTACTCAACAAATCAGGACTGCATCAAGATGCTTGTTGGAAATAAAGTCGATAAGGTGTGATTTAAAGAGTGGTTATGTCCTTTATTCTCACCAGGGTTGTTTGTTTTTATGTTTCAGTGTTATTCTAGTTCTTGACTGTTGTCTTAATGATTTTGTCATTGATCACTTATTTAAGAGAAGAAGTTTTTCCCTTTTAAGCGCTAGCTTCGTCTACTCCTTCATGTATACAGGAAAGTGAGAGAGTGGTAAGCAAAAAAGAGGGCATTGACTTTGCTCAGAAATACGGATGCCTTTTCCTCGAGTGCAGTGCGAAGACACGAGTCAATGTGGAACAATGCTTTGAGGAGCTTGTCTTAAAGGTAATTCACTTATGCTGTTTCGAGATAAATATTGACCAACATTTGCGAGCGTGCTATATGTAACACGTACTTAGATAAGTTCATTTAACATTGTTGGGGATTACTTGCTACAGAAAAGGGTTGTGATAAGAAACACCCATCTTGCAACAACCTTTGGGTTAGTGAGAGAAGCTCCAGCTTCTCTCTAACTTAGGCGTTTTCAATTTTTAAATTTTTAGTATGGCGAGTAGGGTGAAAAGTTCTGTTCAGAGTAATTGCATTACGGTGATCATCGTCAATATTCCTGAGTCTTTTCATCATCAAGGTCTTAGGCTTTTTTTTTCGATAGATATGGTGAGATCGTTGATTCTTTCATCCCTAATAAAAGGAGCAAGGGAGGAAGTAGGTTTGGTTTTGTTCATTTCTCCAGATTGGAAGACGCGACGAAGGCTATCAATTGTGCTGATAGATCTAGGATTCAAGGTTTTATGATTAGAGTTTTCATGGTGAGATTCCAACCTCGTGATGCTTTCTGGAGAAAAAAGCTTTCTGGTCCAAAACTAGTTGAGGCCAAGGGTAAAGTGGAGGGTAATAGTCGTTGAGAGGCTCCCGTTGTCAGTGTTGTAGCCGATGATAAGCTCTCAACTCTCAGAAATTGCTTGGTAGGTTGGTGGAGAAAATTTTTAAAAATAAAAGAGTTGGCTATTATGCACAAGGAAGACATATTACGTCCGAAGATTATGCGGTTAGGCGGTTTAGCAATTTTAATCATTTTTGAAGATGAAAAGAGTAGGGATTATACCCTAAATAATCAGATTAGGGCATTGAATAACTGCTTTGACAAAGTGGAAGTGTGGTCGGAAAAGCTTCAATGCAGTAGCCGTCGGGCTTGGCTTTCGTGCAAAGAGATCCCTCCATCTGTGTGGAGTCATCCAACCTTTAGAAACATTGTAGACAAATGGGGAGAACTTATCTCCATCGAGGAAGGGACCTTAAATCCCGACTCATTTGATAGGGCTTTGATTCAGATCGTTACGAACCGCCAAGCTCGAGTGGAAGAATCCATAGTTTTGAAAGTTGGGGATTGGATCTATTCAATATATGTTTCTGAGTTTGAACCTTGCTTCAGCCCATAATCTGTCTGGGTAGATTCGTCCTTGATGGATAAGGAAATTGCCTACCCAGTTTCCACGGAGGGGGATCTAGTTGGTGACTCGTCAGTAATGCCTCCAGAGAAGGTGGTTTGTGCTGAGGAATCAGGCAGGTTCGTGAGCTCTTCGGAGGAGATGATTTCCGAGCGGTGCTCGGAGGATAAAGACAGGCTATTATGGTGTATGGAGAAAAGAATTAGAGGCAGTAACTTGTCGGGTGAGGATAAAGAGGAAAGGAACATAGGGGAGGATATTATTATGGGTCTAAGGAATATTGTTGCTGGTCAGGGGATGGGGCAATCGAAAACCGAGGAAATGGTGGTACACGAGGAAGTGCTTGCTGGTCAAGGATAGGGTTATCGAAATCTGAGAAAGTGGTGGTACACGAGGAAGTGTTGGTTCATGAACAGAGGGGCAGAAGAAGACAACAGGAAAAGTTATGAGCCTGCACGTGTTTTTGAGGGAAAGAAGGATTATTCTATTCATTTCCCCATGTTGGATGGACGTGTAGATTCAAAGGTGGTGGAGGATGAGTTTAATGTGGGCCTTACAAATAAGTGTGCATTCAAAAGATCTAAGGATTATTTAATTGATTTCCCCATGTTGGAAGGGAGTCAGAAACTTAGAGCTTTGGAGGAGAGAAATGCCATATTTAGTTCTCTCTGAATTTTTCAAGAAAAATTTTCGGCTCACCAAAGGAAGCCTCATTAAAGTCGAAGCTAGACTACTCAGAGGAAGGTGCATCGAGGGGAGTTTTTTTTTTCTGATCTTGAAGGCTTTAAAGTGGTTTTGATATCGGAACATTATGGCTGTGGAAGTTTTGGATCTTTCAGTTGATTCTTTTCTGTTTACTGATTTGGAGTTGGGGGTTTCGGATGGTCTCTGTCGACAAGTCGAGCAAGAAGAGGAAGAAAGGCGGATGCTGCTTTTTGTACTCTTATTGTGTGGAAGCTCAGGGCTTTTGTTTTTGAATTTGCTTTTTTGGATTGAGTCAGTTGTGATATTCGGATTCTGTTTTAGTTGTTTTGTTTTTGTGTTGGTTTCCGGGCTATGTTTAGGTGTTAAGACTGGTCAGTCATATTAGTGACGGTTGTTGTAGCTAAGATGGTTTTCGCTGTGTTAGTGTTGTTGTATAGGGTTGTTTTCGGTTGTTTTCGGTTGTTTGTTTATGTAGGGGTGGCGATCTGGTTGTATCTTATGGTTAATGAAATCTTAAGGCACTCTTTTCCTCCTTCCGCTGATTAAGGAGCTTTTCTACAAGCTCCTTTAATCAAGAAGGAGGTTTTTAACGAGACCTTCAATTCCTATAAAAAAAAACATTGTTGGGGATTATGTTTGGATTGCAGATATTGGATACACCAAGTCTCGTGGCCGAGGGATCATCTGGAGTGAAAAAGAACATCTTCAAACAAAATCCTTCGGAAACTGGCACTGCAACCAGTGGCTGTTGCTCATGGTGATTTATCGTTGAACAGTTGGGTTCTCTATGGGTTGGCGTTTAATTTTCTTTAACAGCTTTACACCTGTTTACTTCAGCTTGTTCATGTTCTGCATTCGACAATGTCATGTACATTAAACCTGAATTTCCAGTATTAAATAAGATCATGTTGTTGCTGAAAAACCTAAAGCATCCTTTTATGTCCATATTGCTGTCTTTATTTGTGTGGAATTCTTTAGATAAAAGTTGTTTTTATTAAAAGTGATAAAAATCAAATTCAAGTAGAATTTTCAAATTGCAAGTTGTTCATGAGGGTGATTATATTAAAAATCAGAACTCAAATGAATTTTCAGAGTTAAAAAGGCATTTAGAAATGAAAATATAATAATAACTGTACCATTTATTTCGGAAGACTTGAAGGGGGCTTAAGCCGTTAAAGATATTCGACCTGATGAAGCATCTTCATTTTCTATGTCCTCCGTTGCATCTATATTCGCTAGTAAAAATATAATATCAATTTTATCATGATTAAATTAAATATAGTAATAATTAAAATGTCATACATGTTCATTCCGGATCGGGAGGTATATAAGATTATGAATCGTAAATGCAACTTTAAAACAAATATATAATTTGATAATTCAAGAAATTGAAGGTTATAGATGGTCTTATAATTATCTTTTGTGATATTTTTAACACAACTTTTATTTGATTCTGAACGTATAAAGATTAAAATGTTGGTTGAAAGTTTGTAATGATTTTCCCCCCTCAATGTTGACTTTCAAATCTTCTTTTTTATTATGTGAAAAAGACTACAACACACAGTGACATGACTTATCTTATATAGGCATCAGGTCATACAACCCATGCACCTCAAATATCCAACTCACGCAACCCATGCACCCCGATAATCATATCATAATTGTCACGGTTACATCCTAATAACTCTCAGCTCACAACTTTATTTGCTTAATATTCACCCTACTTAGTTAAAACTCAAGACTCAACACTACTAACAACATTAACCTTTTGTCGAAAAATAAGAAAATATGACTTAGAAAGTGGCTTGGTGAAGCCATCCACGAGTTGAAACCGAGTGGGAACATAATTGACCCAAACCGACCTATTCGCAACTCTCTCTCGAACGAAATGGACAAAAAGCCCAACATGTTTAGATCGAGCATGAAACACAGTATTGGCACTCATAGCTGCAACACTGGTGCTATCACTCCAAACCAACTGGAGCAACAATACACTCAATCCCCATATCACCAAGCAATGCTTGCACCCACGTGAGTTCAGACACCGCATCAGTTATCCCACGATATTTAGCCTCTATCTTAGATTGAGAAACAAGGCTTTATTTCTTTAAACACTAAGAAATCATATTATTATCAATATATACAATATATCTAGACACCGACCTTCTATCATCTGAATTACTCACCCAATCCGAAACCGAAAAAGCACGCAACACAATATCATTCCCAGAAGCACGAAACAATAACTCATAATCTATTGTACCATTCAAATAGCGTAAAATACGTTTGATTGCTAACGAATGCAACTCATATAGTTTATGCATGTACAGAGCAACACAATGGCACTAAATGAAATGTCAGGCCTAGTATGACTAAGATACAACAAGCCACCCGCCACACTTAGATATAACTAAGAATCATTGATAACTCTCCAAAAGAGTTATCATTTAGAACCTTTATACTTAGGTTTAGCTTGGAATCTTACATTTTTAGGATCATTTTAGGATTAATTTAGTATGTTTTACAATTAATTGCATTTGGGAGTTAAGTGTTGATACTTGGGATGATTTTATGTTTTATACTATAAATTGCTATTTTAAGGTTGTGGCGTTGTTAATGCTGTAGCCGATGCTGTGCAGAGATGTTATATTGAATTACTAAGCAGATCCTGCAACAACTGCTGAGTCACCAGGCAGTTATAGATGGTTTTGGAATGAGGATAACTGGTGTGACATTTGAAAAATGGCTGAAAAATCAAAGAAATTGTGGAATTCTCTCACTGGATAAAGACTTCACTTTTTTGACCTATATAAGGAGGATGAAGTCACACCATTGGTACCTCTTTCTTCTCCAAATTTTTTTCCACATTTTTACTTGCAACCAAGCAGCCATGGTCGTCTAAATCCATCGTCGAAGAGTGTAGCAACAGTTAGGGAGTAGCATCGTTGTAATCGCTATGATCGATCGAGATTCAATCTTGTTTTTAATTTATTTACTTGAAAGAGGAAATATACTATTTGTCTAAGTTGAATATTTTTTATTTTATTCTTTTTATTTGGATTTGAACTCAAGATATTTGATGAAATGTTTTCTTTATGATTTTTCTTCTATAATATAGTTATGTGTGTTTAGTCTTGGTCATTTTTAGAGATAAAAATTGTTGAAATATAAATACTACTTATTCTGCAGCATCAATCATTATGAAAATAATGTAAGCATGGAGAGGTTTATGCTGTCGATTGTTAATGCTTTGTCAATAGCTTAATTAATAGAGTTAATAAGATTTAAATCTATTCAGTTAGGGGTTTAATTACATAAGAAATGATTAATTGGTTGATCATTGCGTGATGCATATCTGTGTTGTTACATCATTATCATGATGGTAGCTACCAATTGACAACAACATCCATGGTCCATCGGTCTGATTTTTCCCTTGATTGTAATTTTATTCCCCGATACTTTATTCTAATTTCAATACATTTGCTATATTTTTGTTATCACTCAATCACAATATTTACCTTTTTATCTTTAAAGTTAACAATTTTAATATGTGATTCATTGCTCTCTATGGGTTCGACATCCAATGCACTAGTTGCATCCACTATTATTACTTGAATATGATACACATACTTGCATTGAATGTTGTAGCACTAATCGTAGCATCAAGTTTTTGGTGCCGTTGTCGAGGAACAATGGTGTTACATTAGAATTGTTTTTATTTTTTCTTTTCACTAACTTCGTTTATTTTTTATTTGTAGGTACTTTATTCTTAGCATAATGTTGTTGGTGCATGACCCATAATAACAATCAAGACTTAGAACCTTTTTATCCATAAATTGAATGAACATTTCATCGTCGTAAACAAGTGAATCCACATCAACTAAATATGGCTCATCAAGGTGGTGGTAACAATGGTTTACTACCATTGCGGAATGGTGAATATCATTTTCTAGTTAACAATAAAAGACTGATTCCACCTCTACCTAATATTCAGATGCCACCGAATTTCTACAACATCAATAACCGCAACATGCCAATTCGAGAGCATGTTATGCCAACATTAGACTATTTAAATCCTGGCGCTGTGCAACCTGCCATTCATGCTGTTCATTTTGAGTTGAAGCTCGTTATGTTCCAAATGTTGCAGTCAATGGGGCACTATAGTGGGTCATTTATCGATGATCCTATATCATACCTAAGAGTATTCATGGAAGTGTTTGATTCTTTTTTACAACAAGGAGTGTCCGAGGAAGCCTTCAAGCTGAAACATTTCCTTACTCTCTTCGTGACAAAGCCAATGTGTGGCTTAATTCGATACCACTTGGTGCTATAACATCATAGAATGAACTCGTTCAAAAGTGTTTGTTTCGCTTCAACCCTCCCAACATGAATGCTAAATTAATGAATGATCTCACATCATTCAAGCAAATGGAGGATGAGAACATTTATGAAGCTTGGGAGCTTCTAAAGGATTTGTTGCACAAATGTCTGATGCATAGTTTCCAACACTAGACACAAATGAAGATGTTTTAAAATGGACTTAATACACAAACAAGGATGGTTGTAAATGCTTTTGACAATGGAGAATTGTTGGATAAGACTTACAACTAAGCATATGACATCTTGGAGAGGATATCCAAAAATGACTACCAATATTCCAATACAAGGATTATGTCGCGCAGACACAATATTGCAGTAGTGGATAATGATGCTATCAACACACTGACCACACAAGTTACAATATTGATTGAAATGATGAAGAATATACAAAAGCCTGAGGGTATGTATGATGAGGTAATGACTACATCTATTGTTTTGTGTGTTTATTATGGGGATAACCATATATTTTGTAAGAAATTACAATAGGAATGACAATGCCAACGTCTATGGGAACAACTATAATCCAAATTTCCAAAATCATCTTAACTTGTCTTTATGGAGTAAAAAATGTAATCAATCCAAATATGGCATTACAATCAAATTTTTGGAATGTACAACAACAATATCGACCATAATAACAATATACGCAGTAGCAAATGCTACCTCAACATTAGTCACATCACAAGGCGGTGCAGCCACAACAATGTCACAACCAATAAGGCTATCAAGAACCGTCCTTTAATAAAGCTTCCACATCAACACTTGAGTCTCTACTGAAGGAGTACATCTCAAAAAATAAAGATGTGATCCAAATCCAGTCAGCATCGCTGAGAGCATTAAAAAAATCAAATTGGGCAGTTCGCTAATGCCTTGAGCAATAGACTACATGGAGCATTGCCTAGTGACATTGAAGTTCTAAAAGTACACGGGAAACCTCAATGCAATGAGAATTATGAAGTTATCACAACAGGTAGTGGACTCTAGCTTCGTAAAATAAATGATGAACATATGAAGAATAATGATGAGTGGCTTGGGAGCAAGCTAAAGGTTAAAAGTTGGGAGTAGATATAGAGACACCTATTGTGGATGTCACAACAAAGGATGCAGAACAATGTAGAGTTCTGGGACATTTCCAGTTACAATGCCAACAACACAGCCACTTGTAACACCACAACCATTACCGAGCCAACATAATCCAAGTCCTCACCACCATTTTCTCAAAGATTCAAGAATACCAATGAGGAACAATTTAGAAAGTTCATTGATGTGCTAAAGCAATTAAAAATCAACATCCCATTGATTAATGTATTGGAACAAAATCCTAATTACATTAAATTCATGAAGAAATTACTTTCGAAAAAAGAGAATAGTAGGAGAATTTGAAACTGTTGCACTCACTAAAGGATGTAGTGATATGGCTACAAGCCAATTACCACATAAATTAAAAGATCTAGAGATTTTTATTATTCCTTGCATTATTTAGGATGAATTTGTTAGTAGAGCATTATGTAATTTAGGTGATAGTATTAATCTTACGCCTTTTTCATTTTTAGGAAATTTGGAAGTGCAGAAACAAGTCCTACCACTCTGACTCTTCAACTTGCCGATTGCTTTATTATATATCCCAATGGCATAATTGATAATATGCTAGTTTGAGTGGACAAGTATATTTTTTCTACAAATTTTATTATATTGGACCGTCAAGCCGAAAATGATGTACCAAGTATACTTGGTCAACCGTTCCTTGCTAAAAGTCGAGCTTTGATCGATGTTGAAAATGGATAACTTACTATACGCCTTAATGATGAACACATTACTTTCAATGTTTTGAATAATTGTTTTATATGAGGATGAAAATGTAGAGTGCCATGCTATTTACATTATTGATGTTTTTTTTGCATGAGCAATAAGAAGAATGACACATCATTGATGATGTTACTAAAATGTTGAAGGAAAGTATATGCAACATTTTTAGTTGTTGGATCTTCCAAATCGACCTATCCAAGTTCATTGTCCTTTTATTGAAGAGCCTCTACCCTTGAATTAAAATCTCTTCCCGGTCATTTAAAGTATTCATTTCTCCGGGAGGACAAGACTTTGCATGTTATTGTTGCAAAGCTCAAAGCATTGCATGAAGAAAAAAATGCTTGATGTTCTAAAACATCACGAGAAAGTAATTGCTTGTGGCATTACTGACATCAAGGGTATTAGTTCAGTTTTTGCATGCACAAGATATTACCGAAGTATCCAAACAAGAAATCTATTAAGCAGCAAAGATGATTGAACCCTATTATGAATGAGGTTGTTAGAAAAGAGTCATCAAGTGGTTGGATGTTGGAATCATTTACCCCATTTATGACAGTAATTGGGTGAGTTTGGTTGAATGCATGCCAAATAAGGGTGGCATGACTGTAGTTTCCAATGAGAATAATGACTTAATTCCCACCCGCACCATACCATATTTGTATGAACTATTGGAAGCTGAACAAAGCCACAAGAAAGGATCATTTTCTTTGCCATTTATTGACCAGATATTGGATAGATTTGCTGGTAAAGTTTTTTATTACTTTCTTGATGATTATAATGGTTAAAACAAGATAGCAATTGCACCTGAAGACCAAGAGAAGACTATAATTACTTTTCCTTATGGTACATTCTCTCTTAGAAGAATTCCTTTTGGTCTGTGCAATGCTTCAACAACATTTTAGCGTTGTATGATGGCCATATTTCTGACATGATTGAAGATTTCCTTGAGGTATTCATGGATAATTTTCCTATCTTCGACCAAAACTTTGATCAATGCCTTGACAACTTAGTTACAATTTTAAAGCAACGTGAAGATACCAATCTTGTGCTCTATTGGGAGAAATGCCACTTTAAAGTGATCGAAGGCATAATGTTAGGGCATCATATTTCACATTGTGACATTGAGGTGGATAAAGTAAAAGTGGAAGTCATTGGAAAGGTACCACATACCACCAATGTCAAAGGGATAAGGAGTTTTCTTGGGCATGCTAGTTTTTATCAATGGTTCATCAAAGATTTTTCAAAGATTACTAGACCACTTTGCTCATTTCTAGAGCAAAACAGGAAACCTATCTTCGATAACGAGGCCCTTGAATCCTTTGAAACAATCAAGTTGAAGTAGGTAAATGCTCCTATTGTTATCACACCAAATTATAATTTCACTTTTGAGTTAATGTGTGATACAAATGATCAAGTTGTTAGATCAGTACTGGGGAAACAAAAGAATAAAATCTTTCATTTCATACATTATGCTAGCAGAAACTTGAATGATGCTTAGAGAAACTACACAACAACCAAGAAGGAGTTGTTAGTTGTTATGTTTACCTTTGAAAAATATAGTTCTTATCTTGTTGGAACAAAGGTGATCGTTTACATAAATCACTAAACATAGAATCATTTATTTGTGAAGAAAGAAACCAAGCCAAGATTGATGCACAGGGTGTTGTTGATGCAAACATTTAACATTGAGATTAGGGATAAGAAGGGCTCCAAGAATGAAGTGGTTGATCAATTGTCTCGTTTGGAATCAGATAGTAAAGAATGAAGCATACTCTTTGATTCTCGATCATTTCCCAGATGAAAAGTTTCTTGCTATTGAAGCATTGTCTTGGTATTTTGACATCGTAAACTACTTGGTGAGTGGATTGCTGCGACAAATCTTAACCACCAAGGAAGAAGAAATTTCTAAAATTTGTTAAAGTATATTATTTGGAGGAACCATATCTTTACAAGCAATGCAACAGTCAAATTTTGAGACAACATGTCCATGAATGCGAGCAATATAGTATCGTGCTTCACTGACATAATGTGCCTTACGGTGGTCACTTCGGAAGCATGCACACTACGAAAAAGGTTCTTCAATGTGGCTACTATTATCCAACATTGTTTAACGATGCAAATGATTCTGCCAAGCATTGTGATCACTATCAACAAATTGGTATCATTTCTCATCGTAGAGAAATGCCTATGCAACGTGTATATAAGATAAAATTATTTCATGTTTGAGGATTGGACTTCATGGGACCTTATCCATCATCCTTTAGTAATGTTTACATTCTTGTCATTGTTAACTATATCCATCATCCTTTAGTAATCTTTACATTCTTGTTGTTGTTAACTATGTGTCTAAGTAAGTCGAAGTTGTACCATTACCTACAAGTGATGTTAAGTCGAACTTGAAATTCCTTCACAAGAATATCTTCGATCACTTTGGAACACCAAGGGAATTTATTAGTGATTAGGGTTCCCAATTCAAATGCAAGCAAGTAGCTAAAGCTATACTTTCTTATGGAGTAAAGCATCACATAGCTACAACATACTATCCTCAATTCAATGGTCAAGTCGATGTCTCCAATAGATAAGTCAAGCAAATTTTTGGAGAAGGTTATGAATCTATCAAGGAAAGATTTATTTTTGTTCCTTGATGAAGCTTTGTGGGAATATCATACAACTTATAAAACCCCATTATGTATGTCTCCAATTCACTTACTATTTGGCAAGGCATGTCATTTTCTCATAGAGCTGGAGCATAAAGCAATGTGGGCTCTTAAAAGACTCAACTTTGACCTTGATTTTCTTAGTGAAAAGAGAATGGTGGAAATAAATGATCTTGAGGAACTTCGCAATGATGCCTATGAAAAAGTGAAGATATATAAGGAAAGGAACAAGAGATGGTATGAAAAACACATATTGGCATGACAATTCCATTTTAAGCATCAAGTGTTGTTATTCAATTATCGTTTAAATCTATTTCCTGGGAAGCTAAAATCTCGATGCTTAGGACCATTTGAAGTGGAATAGTGTACCCCATGGAGTTGTGATCATAAAGAACTTGATGGATAGATGCATGTTCAAATTTAATAGATAACGTTTGAAGCATTATTGCAACGAACAACTTCAACGTGTTACTTCTATTTCCCTAAGAGTAATTTCATTCCCTTAATTTTTGGTTGCCTTCAATAAGTTAATTTTGACATTAGATTAGTTTGCATTTTTAATTTCATTCTTACTTATTTTAATTTCTTTTCATTTTATTTGTATATATTAAATGCCATGACATTGCTCGTTGCATCACCAGTTTTTGTCAAACTGTTGT